GAGAGAGAGAGAGAGAGTAATGATTCTACGAGACCCTACAAAATATCATATTATTATGATTTGTAAAATAAATATTAAAATTCAAACACTATCTTACATCTGTGACCGTGTGATAGACTTTGAACGGTAATAAAACCGTAGGTGAAATACTGTAGAACTTCACTTATTGGTCTTTTGTTGTGTTTTTGAGACCCTAAAAATGAAATTGGGTCAAATACTCTCTCCCTTCCCTTTTATTAAAGACACCCACCACCCTTTGTAGAGTGATTGATGGGGGGAGGTGGGTCCAAATTTTTCTTTGCCATCCTTCCTCTGCTAATTTCAGCCAAAAAACTGAAATGGGGTCTCAGACCTTTGAAAACAAAAATGGGAGCCTAGAAAAAATACTAGAGTTGCAGAGGAGCGATTAGAGCGCCTCCCTCACGAGCAATCAACAGCTCTGCAGTTATTTGATTTGGAGCACTGATCAAGCAAAACCTATCAGACATCTCCACAGAAGGCGAATCTTTAAGATCTAACAATGGAAAGAGCTCAAACCTTTGAGCATTTGTGAAATATGATTGCCCTAGCCTGACCTTCAAAGAGTTTTTGGGGTGAAAGCCGTTGGGATAAGTAAGGAACACCAAAGTGGTTTTGGTCCCATGGGTTTATTTCTATCAATAAGCAAGCATTTTTCATAGTGGGCATGTGAAGAAATCTCCCACCCCTATTTCCGTCCTTAGATCACCTGGAAACCCAATTAATTTGGTGAGCATCATGAAATGATCAGTATTGTTTTTCATAACCTTTGTTTTGTAACCAGTTGAATAGCAAATTATTGGTGTCCCTTTTACCAAGTGGACCACAGGTATTCTCCATCCACTACACATACGTATAGGGGTTCAAAGAAAGCAGAGGAGCCTCTGGTTTGAGGGTTTGAAATAGATGACCAAGCATTCAAGCATGGAAAATGAATTCGGATGCAAATTGATCGGTGCCAAACTGAACCACGACCCCTCGAGCTCAGAAGGGATCAAGTGGGTCAATCCACTGGCTTGTGACCAAACCCACTATTCTCTAACTTCTTAGATCATGAGCCCCAAGTGCACAGGGTATATGCCATAGTCACCTAGAAACCTCTTCTGGATATGTGTTTAGCCTACTAGGTGTGCCAGTAACCAAAACTTGTACGACACCATTATGGGGATGTTTCCCACGAAAAAGTACCAATTGCATAGAAACCTGAACCATCTTCTTTAAGCAATCGTATCAATTTTTGTTTCAAATGAAAAATTACCGGAACATTATGTACTACTAGAAGTTCAGGTACTGGTACTTTAGTAACCATGTATATGCATCCTGGCATATCTACATTCTCAAACAGTTCGACCTATTGCTTCATAAATTATGGGGGTGTTTTTGAAGTAGCTAGATAATGATTGATTTTAGTCCCTTGAATGAAATGGGTGGCTCGTCGTCCATTTATCTACGACTGATCTCATGTTGATGCTCATGCAAGTTTCTTCTGTCTTCTTGTTCATTGTTGCTCTTGCTGAATGTCTTGTCTGACAGGATCAAGTGCCATTTACAGCCGCTATAAGATGGATCCAGATGGACTCTGCGGTAAAACGTAAGTTTATTTGCTTTTTTATACCTTCTATATGACAGTAACAACTCTACTTGTTCAATAAAAATTGCCTTCTTTGATATATATATTCAGATTTGTGGACAAGATTGCACTACAGTTATTCAATGGAGATGTACATCAGGCTGCCTTCCGTGTGTTGACTGATTTTCGCAAAGGAAAGTTTGGTTGGGTTTCACTTGAGAGGCCCCCAAGGTAGGCTACTTAATGGTCGAGTGGATACTTTAGTTGAGACCTACTCAATCTTTGAATTTGGAAATGTAAATCACCTGTGAATATTTTCGAGCTGGAACTGGTAATGGGTACATCCAATATTTTCTCTCCTTTGAATGAAATCCCAATTTTCAAGATAATTGCAAGGCTTGGGTAGCTTATCAACTTGGGTAGCTTATCAAGTGAATTGCTCACAGCCGGAAGAGGTTTTATTCCCAGACTGTCACCTTTGTAACATATTGTACGAAACTTATTTGATATTGTACTCTAGTAAATACAAATTATAATTTGAGAGGGAAAAGCAGCACCTGAGGTTTGTGAGTAAAACATGGAACTATAGTGAAGAAAAAATACCAATCCCATCAGATTAATTTATGCCTAATTGAATATAATGGGTGTGGCTTGTATAAGGCTGAGGCTCTAAACAATCGCAGTAAAGCGCACCTTCAATTAGTGTCAATAGATGTAGTTTCCCTATTGGAAATCTTTTTGATGGTCTGAAAATTTATTTTCATCTCTAATTATAAAATTTAAAGCTTCAAAAATAGTGTAGATCGAGCAGATCAATGAACATTTGAAAATCTTGAAAATTGATGGTCCAAAATTGCATTACAAGATGGTCTATTTCTAAAACTTAAAAAAATCCTTTGAAAGCTTAGATCTAAGCATCTCACCAAAATGAACGGCTTATGATAATTGTGCTAAAAAAATACTTCATAGGTTGTGTTTTCAATTTTTTTTTTTTTTTTTGTTTGATTGTTTATT